TCTCCTGCCTCAACCTCCTCAGTAGCTGGGATTACAGGCATGCGCCACCATGCCCAGCTAATGTTTTGTATTTTTTTTAGTAGAGACGGGGTTTCACCATGTTGACAAGGATGGTCTCGATCTCTTGACCTCGTGATCCACCCGCCTCGGCCTCCCAAAGTGCTGGGATTACAGGCTTGAGCCACCGCGCCCGGCTGACTTAATGTTTTTTAAGTTAACTGTAAAGCAGCCTCAGGCAGGTCCTTCAGAAGATATTCTAGGTATTCCAAGTATTGTGGGTTTTCTTCAGGTATTCCAAGTTTTGGGGGAGGGTGTTTGTTTGTTTTTGAGATAGAGTTTCGCTCTTATTTCACCCAGGCTGGAGTGCAATGGCACGATCTCGGCTCACTGCAACCTCCACCTCACAGGTTCAAGCGATTCTCCTGCCTCAGCCACCCAAGTAGCTGGGATTACAGGTGTGCGTCACCACACCTGGCTAATTTTTTCTTTTTTTGTATTTTTAGTAGAAACAGGGTTTCACCATGTTGGCCAGGCTGATCTCAAACTCCTGACCTCAGGTGATCAGCCGCCTCAGCTTCCCAAAGTGCTGAGATTACAGGAGTGAGCCACTGCACCTGGCTCCAAGTATTGTTATCATGAGATGATAGCTCTGTGCATGTTACTACCCATGAAGACCTTCCAGTGGGACAAGATGTGGAGGTGAAGGACAGTGCAATTGATCATCTACATCCGGTGTAGGCATAGGTTATGTGTGTGTTTAGGTTTTAGTTTTTAACAACAACAACAAAAAAAAAACTTAAAATGTAAAATTTTAAATTGCCTTAAATAGAGAAAAGCTTATGGAATAAAGATATAAAGAAAGAAAATATTTTGTACATCTGTACAATGTGTTTGTGTTTTAAGCTAAGTGTTATTACAGAAGAGCCACCCCAGATGTTTGAAGGCTGGGTATAGTGGCTGATACCTGTAATCCCAGCACTTTGGGAGACCAAGGTGGGAGAATTCCCTGAGCCCAGGAGCTTAAGACTAAACTGGGCAACATAGTGAGACCCCATATCAACAAAAAATAAGAAATTAGCCGGTGGCTAGGTGCAGTGGCTCACACCTGTAATCCCAGCACTTTGGGAGGCCAAGGTGGGTGGATCATCTGAGGTCAGGAGTTTGAGACCAGCCTGGCCAACATGGTAAAACCCTGTGTCTACTAAAAATACAAAAAAATTAGCCGGGCATGGTGGCGGGCACTTCTCAGCTACTTGGGAGGCTGAGGCAGGGGAATGGCTTGAACCTGGGAGGCAGAGGTTAGAATGAGCTAAGATTGGGCCGGGCGCGGTGGCTCACGCCTGTAATCCCAGCACTTTGGGAGGCCGAGGCGGGTGGATCACGAGGTCAAGAGATCGAGACCATCCTGGTCAACATGGTGAAACCCCGTCTC